GGCTTTTGCTGTGGGGGCTCCAAAGTTGTGGAATTCAGTGCCCCTATATATTAGGCAGGCCCCTTCGTTGTCGTCTGTTTTTAAAGTGTATTTGAAAACTCATCTGTACCTTTTGGCATTTGACCTGGTATGAGGCTTTGTTTTGCTGAGGATTTTTGTTTTATGATGGGTGATTGTTTAATTGCAATTTTGTTTTATTATTGTGTTTTGTGTTAAGCACTTTGGTCAGCTGCTGCCATGTTAAATGTGCTATATAAATAAAGTTGATGATGATGATGATAATGATGATGATGAAATGGTTACAGGTAGATTTCAGAACAATCTTTACATTTTCCAAGGATAATTAAAAAAAAAAAAACTTTCACTGAGAGTCCAGAGGAGTCAGAAAGAGTAGCCATGTTAGTGCCACACTTTCTTCTTCTCTGTCTGCAAACTCAAGCAAGAAAATTACAATGCACAATACTGTTGAAGCCCCTCTACACAGTATGATTTCAGGCCATCTCAGATGGAAGTTGAAAATGATGAGAGAAATTGGGTAAAATCTTTAGTCATCTTTTTTAAAATATATTTTAGATGCCAACCAGGTACACTGTGGTTTATGATTCACTCAACTTTTAGCTTGTACCACACTCCATAACTGTAAGGCTGAACAACATGACATCCAGCTGAGCTGTCCTGGTGGCTCACTAGTTAATGTACATGCCATTTGACTCACTCTGTTCATTTCCTGTCTCTGCCTCCACTGTAAACTATTTGATAAAGACAAAAATGCATGCTTTCAGGTTTGTTGCTCCGGCAAACTTGACTTACAATTACTGTAATTTTTTAAATTAAATTAAATTAAACAAAATATACATTTATTAATAATCTGTGTGGTCTCAATAATATTTAAATAACTGCTATTTAATACCCACAAATCATTCGTTTTGAATGAGAATTTGCTAAATGGTTTGGTATGCAAGTACTGCAAAGGAATACGATGTCAAATGATAATGGGAAAACATGTTCAATCCAGTTTATATAATTGGGTGCTGAATTCTAAAAAAATTTGTAGAATAATTCAATATAAAGTCACAGTCATCATCAGTGCCTAATGCAGTAAATCCACATGTCATTAGAAAATCCATTCTTCATACAGAAAATGCATGATCCATTATAATCCCTCAACAGAGTGATACTCATATGACAATGTTCATATCATTCAACATATGGAACACAGACGACAGGAAATGTGCTGAAGAAAAGGTCACTGGACTGAGAGTGAAACACTTCAAACATGTTTCTCATGTGAGAAACTTGTATTAATATGATTTGATCCATCTGGGGTATAATGTAGATGGGCAAAAACATTTGGTTACTATAGCAGAGTTTGTTGGATTAAAGTTACTTCAGTTTGGAAACAATTGATCTCATTGCTGAATTATACACTTGTTTATTCTGCTCTGCAGTGAATTAAATACAATACGGCAGTGATTTGATTAGTCTTTAATCAGCCAGTACCACCATCCAAATGTAATCACTGATTCTCCCATTGGCTTTAAACTCATTTATTCAGATTTTTCCTTTAATTTGTAACCAGTCCGTACATGTACAGGTACAACGAGAGTGGAGACTTCTTTTTAAAATATATACAACATATTTGTAGGGTCATCTGAACAGATGTACACAACTGTAGATTCCTCAGGAAGTGCAAACGATGAAGTATATACAGTAGGTATAATATGATAGGAGCACTCCATTGATTTTACACATGAAGATCAGTTTACAAGTTGGAGTACTACTCAGCCTGTGAAGATAAAGCTTTCTAGAGTCTAAGAAAATAACCCTGGTGAATTTAGTCATGTCACCAAGGTTACTGTATCTCTGCTTTGGCTTGACACTATTTTTTTACAGCCTGCATTAGCCTCTAATCAGAACTGGGATTGTAGAGGGTTAGGTTTAGTTAGGATATCTGGCTCTGATGCATCAGTTTTGACCATTTAAAAGTGGAACCACACAGCACTCAGAGAGTACAAACCTCCGCCAAGACAGCTCAGCTTCCCTATAATGCCATGCTTAAAAGAAATATTCCTATGATAGTGTGACCCTGATAATATGATTCCTTGACCATGCAAACCTAACCTTACAATTTGGAATCACGATATCACTATTAATTTGAAAGTTATTAAAAAAAACTAATAGCGATTTTCTTCAGGATCTAGCACAGCAAGTGTTGAAGAAACTGTATGTCAAACATGTTGACCCTCTTTTAAATCAGCAGAGTTTCAGCTACAATTTAATGCTAGTTACAAAGCTGTAGCATCATTTGTTGTCTCACAGTAGCAGGTTTTCTGTGAGCCCTATAAATGTAAACATTCTACATCACCACATCAGGAATATCCCTTCGATCCAGATCATACTTGGGTGTGTGCTAAATTTTATGTGGATGTTATCTTGCAGTTTTTGTTCAAGCATTCTAGGCATTATGTATGGAGTTAGAAGCCAAAATACTGAAACTGGCCCTGTCTCACAATGGTGAAGAGGTAATAAAATGATCATGCTTCAAGAAATATGCAGGGTACACTGAATGCTAGCCAGGACTTTCCACACATCCTCAAACCTAAACAACAACATACCATCATCATTTGACCCTAACTTTAAATGCAAAATAGAACTGTTCTAGCAAGTGTACCAGATCTCTGTCATCATGGTAGCAATACATACACAGTTATAGAACTATCATGGTTTGGTTATGTGTAGGCACTAAAACTGCTTGGTTAAGTTTAGCTACAAAGACTAATTGGCTAGGTTTAGGCACAAAATTAGACACACTGATTTCAAAAGAAACAGTTCCGTGAGTGGGCAAAGCTGGTTGTAAAGAGGATCAGTAAAATATGTGAGTCTCTGCTCTGAAATGTTCATCATGAACTCTAATACTTTATAGTGTTTATCATTGTAGTCTTTTAGACAAAAGCCCTGAGAACAGCAGGTTACTAGGGCCTGCCACAGAGTGTGATACCAGTGGCTACGGATAGCATATGGCACTAGGAACTAGATACAACACAAACAGGACAGGGGGTGGGCAGGCGCAGCCGATGGGATTACCTAGGTTCTGTACTGTGTGTGTCCTTGTTTTTCTATACTTGGGAGGCCTGAAATCCATGAGTTACTATCTTTGCAGGAACAGGAAGTCACTTGTGGGGACTGGAGGCTGGTCCCAGTAAAGTACCTTGTCGAATTTTATAAAAACAATGGGGTGAAAGGTTAGAGCAAGTGTAGGCTATGGTTAAGGTTCAGATAAGTGTTAACATTAGACAAGTAGCAGTTCTGGTTAAGTCTCCTGGAAATGAATGCAACTCCCAGTAAGCGACAAAAACAAGGGTGTGTGTGCGCCATGCATATCCTTGATGCTGCATGGTTGGAGGTGTGTATGTGTCTGTACCCTAGTTATATGTGTGCAGCCAAGCACATGTACAGTAGCATATAGTTTTCAGCACCAAATGTCAGTATTTTGATCATATTAAAAATGACTGGGTTCAGAGTCAAGTGCTGGAAACACTGGGTACTTTCAGCACATGTGCCTGCACAAAGAAATTGAACTACAGTGTCACTTTGTCAGGAATCGGCGTGTGAAGCTGCCGATAATGTCAAGGGGTGAACTCAATTATAAGGACAGACGAGTAAAAGTGTTTATTTAATAAGAAGCACTGGTAACAAACGATAACACAAAGCAGGATTCAGGTTCAGCAAGTAACACTCAGTTTGATAATACAGTCCAGTCAGAGCCAAAAAACTTACACAGCCGAGGTACAAGAGGTCAGAGAGGGGAGTCCGATAGTAAATATACAGAAAAACATGGTCAGAATCAGGAGGTAAAGGTTAAGCATTAGTGGTCAAAAGGTAAGCCGGGGTCAGAGCTGGAATCACAGGAGGAAGAAAAAATGCTGGAAAGTCTAAACATGGGTTAGAATGATCTGGCAGCTTCTTGGTGTTGGGAAGCTGCCTATAAGGGGGTGAAAACAGGTGCAAACAATAACCGCTGATTGGAGTAAAGAGTCTGAAACAGGAAGTAATGTTAAAATAAAAGCATGAGACCAGAAACAGGTGGGACAGAATCATAACACACTTCTACAGAGCATTTACACACATATATATACATATATATATAAATAAAGGTACTGCAACAGACATCCCCTGTGGCTCATGACACTTGACGGCAGCAGTTAGTATCAAATCCCTAATATACAATAAAATACTGAAAGTGTTGCTTCTCTGTCAAGACCATTATGGTATTTAATGTACTATATTAGCATAGTGTGTATTAATTATCTCATTATTCCATGGTCAGAGCAAAGAAAAACTGAGGACTATTTTACCTGCTTATCTATGTTGTCAGTAAAATGTATGTGTATGCCTATGTAGGGCAGAGACACACCAAGCCAATGGTCAACTGTTGGGCCATTAGTGAGCATCTGTCGGGGCTTGTCCTCCTAGTGTGTCCCACACCGCTGGCACTAGTCGATCTCTGTCAGCAGCTTTTCAGCCTATTTGACATGTTGTCTGTGGTCGGGCCTCGTCAGTGAGACCATTCTGAATGGCTGTTGAGCTTAGCGAATCAATACATGAGAAGAACATGGTTCGGAAAAGTCCCATCATCTTGTCATTGTAGGATCCATGATTTCACCAATTTAGTGTTGTTCCTCCTTGCTTTTCACTTCCACAATCTCCTTTCTTCTTCCACAAGCAAAAGTCCATGTTATGGACGCATGCCACACAAGGTGGTGTGACAAAGGAAGCGGAGTGCTGTACAGATTAGAATGGTGATAATGTGTCAAAACACATAAAAGTCCCGAATAGGTATAGGGGGGTATAGGTGTTGATCCTAGGCAGAGATGATGAAGGACGTCTCAGGGTCGAGCTGTGGAGCAGGAGGGTCACTCACTGGCTGGTCAAGGTAGAGATGGTTGAGGCAGAAGAACAGGCAGGAGAACACGATGAGCAGGTAGAAAACAGGATAGGAGAGCACCAACCTGGTAGAGAGATGCTAGTCCGAGGGGTAACGATGGGTATTGATCAGAGGTTGACAATTCCTTGTGGAGGTTAATAGTCCAAAAGGGGAGCTGACGTCTGGAACAGGCAAGGAGAAAGATAAGAAAATAAAGGAGGCAAACTTGAACAGAATGTACATAAAGACCGTAACAGTGTGGAACAGCACTAGTCATCTGCCTGGGAACCAACAACAAACTAGCAGTGAGCCGGTTGGAAGGCAGGGTAGATATAGGAGGCGGGTAATTGCAGGATAGACAACAGGTGGTGATGATAATGATAGCTGGCAGGTGTGTGGAGGTGAGAGAGGGCAGGCAAAACGGAGTGACCCTGACAGTCCAAGGGTAGAGAACGGCAGTGTTATTTGCAACTTCTTATCAGACATATTTTCAGTTAAAAGCAGCTATAACCATATGCTGTTTTGAATGAAAGGTGTTTTGTTAACAGCTTATACTGGTGAATACAGATACCGCCACCTGCTGGCAGGGGGAGTTATTTTTGTCGCACAGGTGCAGAATGTATGTGCTAGTTGGCCTTTGGCTATAGTCTGTGTGGTGTGTTCATAGCAACTCTTTCTTTGTGCACTTTGACTACTGTAAACTAAAAATGCTGCCTTTACGACAACACTTTTAAGGAGCCATCAAGAGAAGAACTACCATTAGCTGCAGTAGAAGTCTAGCTGATCATAGCCAGAGGAGAGAAGGATGAGTGGGATCTAACAAAAAGCAGGAGGCCTACAGTCAGTCCAGCCCAGCACAAACGCTCTGCCCCACAGGGATACAAACACACTGATCTGAACCTCACAGCTCTCTTGATAATCAGTGAGCGAGAAAACATACATTTAGGCAGCACACAGGACCATACATGAAAATACATGCGGTGCACAATGTTTTGTGGAGACATTACAGCCAAGGGCCTGTTGGACAAATGGATCCTTTGTTCTATCACAGCGACACACACATACTGTATAGTGCATACACAGACACCAAAAAAAAAAAAGTACACCATACATTTCAGGATGAGCAGAAAGAGGTTCAAGGCTGTCTGAAAGTTGTATCTATCTCATACATCTGTGTTGACTCACTGCAGTACAGCTACTGTACACTGTGTATCATCCTGTATACGTATCTAGTATTTCATGTTGTATGTGTATACACTGAGAAATAGAGTGAGTGCCACACAGACAGCAGATGCGCCTCTACTTGTATATACTGTATGTATTAGAATCAGGGGTGCATACACAGGCATGTCCCACATACAGTACGTGCACGGGCAAACATGATGGTGACCTTCTTACAGCAATAGAAGAGCCCTTTTGGTTTGTAGTATTTGGTTGAACAACATGAAAAGGTCAAAAACAGGAAAATGATGTGTGGAAATAACATGTTCTCATCCCTGGGCATCAAATACAGATGCTTTGTCAAGCACTTTGGCATCTCACACAGATGCCAAAGGTACTCGACAATACATTAGTAAACACCTTATGTAAACACTCTGTGTGCTTAAATTTAGGTACTAAAACTAGGAAATGATCATGGCTTGGGTTAAAACACACACAAATTTAAAAAATACAATGTTTCACACCGGAATCGCACACATCTCCTGCATGAAAGTCTGATGATTTCTGACCCACCCATCCACCCCAACTTTCTCCTAATACAGACCTTTTTCCTTCATATTACTATATCACTGTAAATGCATGATATGTTTTTTTTCTCATACGGACACTAAGAAACAGCATTAATCAAAAAATTTGTCATCATATCCTATGTCAGTGTGTTGATTTCATCCACAGTTGCCACTGTTTCCACCACCTTTTTTGCCAGTGCTAATAGACAGAAAGATAACATCTTCCTAACATCATCTAAATTCAAGAGACCAGCAGGTTAGATGCCTGGACAGTCCAAACAGTCCAAAACCTGTTGTCATATTTTGATGCAGATATCATAAAACTCTGATTTTAAAAACACAGAGCAGGTACATATTGGCAGTGAAAAGAATTAAACAAATCAGTGTCAAGAGCAAACAAATACAGAGCAGACCCAAGGACCAGTGCTGTTAAGGTCGGTTGCTCCAACCAACACTCTGGAACAAATACTGACAATTGCTATCAAATTTGATTTCAGTATTTATTATTTGTTTCAATAGATCAAAACTTTCTTTTGGCCAACACCTGGTCAGTGACAAGGTCAAACATTATTGGCTAAGATTTTATAATATCTTTTGAAGATATTAACGTACCTGAAAGGTTATATTTTAATATGTTTGCTCACCCCTTGACCTTTTCTAGTGAGCCACCAAAAATTTTAATCAATACATTTCTAGATGTGGGCAGGCTGCCATAAAACATACTTTGCTATAATGGTCTATACAGGTATTTTTTTCTCATGACATTTCCTTTTGCAACTTCAGCGATACAATTTGTAAGGCTTTAAAGACAGCAAAATTAGTGTTCAGTCGAATGTTTTTTTTGTCCAGTGCATTTGTAAAGCTGGGTACATTTAACATTTCTGTATTTGGGGCTGTTTTAACATCATTTTTAAACATACTGTACACATACAGCAAAGGGTATATTGTAGATGAAGAGACAGAAACACAGGATTTTCTCCAATCATACTGGATGCAAGAAGCAGTAAAATTATAAGAAAAAAGGTAAAAGCCTAGAATATAAACAGGAGAGGAAATGGAGGGAAAGGCAGCACTGGGTAAGGCCCAGATCTAACTTACTAAATGAGTTGAAAAGCAGATAGGACAAAGTGATTTAAGGCCCAGTGAGTATTCGCACATAGTCTGTAAAGAGTCTAAAGCCAGCTTTTTGCTACATTTAAAATGGGCAACCTTCAATTCTAAACATGTTAGTATAGCTAACTAGCATACCTCCTTAACTGAGTGTTGTAAACAACAAATGTCAGTAACTAACTATTGTACATTAGTTTGTGGGGTTACAGTTTACATAAAAAATGCCCTGTTCACAACTAGTACGTTCACTGTATGTTTTCCACAGTGCTAGTCCTGGATGCTAACTGAAGTCAGGCTATCATTAGCACAAATATCCTGCTTTTTAGCAAAGATAGTGTTAATGTTTGCCATCAGCTGTCAACTTTTTTCCAAATGTCCATGCAGATTCTTAGACATCCAGGCCTTAGTAAGCTGAAAAAACTTAGAAAAGTCAACTGGACTTGGTTTTTTTTTACCTCTCATCCAAGAGGCTTCATCTGTTCTGCCCGACTGGCGTTGAGTCACAGGTATTTATCCCCATCGGTGGTGTTTCAGTCCTTTGATGCCCAACAATGTCCCCTAACGATTGAGTCATTATAGCCCAGTATTGGTGAGCGTCGTTACTTGTCTTTGAAACCTCACCTGTGAACCGACGCCTATTGTCCTGGTGGGCATGTTTGGGCAGAGATCTCAAAACAGAGTTGTAGATGGATGACAAGTTGTGTCTTAATCCACCACCCCTATTTAGTGAGGGGTGTTCTATTTGGACAAAAATAGCTTCCTTAACTCCTCTCTCAAACCAGCAATGTTCTCTGGAGAGGATCTGGACTTCACTGTCCTCAAAAGAATGTCCTTTGTCCTTCAGGTGGAGGTGGACTGCTGACTCTGGTCCACTGGAGTTGGCCTTCCTGTGTTGGGCCATGCGTTTGTGAAGCGGCTGCTTAGTTTCACCAATGTACAAGTCATTACACTCCTGACTACACTTAATTGCATACACCACATCACTCTGTTTATGTCTGGGTGATTTGTCCTTCGGGTGGACCAGTCTCTGCTGCAGGGTGTTCCCTGGTTTAAAGTTAACTGGGATATTGTGGTTGCAAAAGATCCTTTTGAACTTCTCTGATAAACCAGCCACATAAGGGATGACAGTGTTATCCCTTCTTGTTTTTTCCCTGTTGGTAGTTGGGCCTCTTCCTTGCTTTGGTGAAGGCTCACTTGGGGTATCCACAAGCCCTAAGGGAGTTCTGGATGTGTAGTTTCTCCTTCTACAGTTGTAGGCACTTCCTCTGCCCTGTGATTTAGAGTTTTGATGATTCCTAGTTTGTGTTGAAGTGGATGGTGTGAGTCAAAAAGCAGGTATTTGTCCGTGTGTGTAGGTTTCCGATATATTTCTACCTTCAGGCTTCTGTCCCCTCCCAAGCGGACTGCACAATCCAAAAAGACAGACAGTCATCTCTGGCATCCTCACAAGTGAACTTGATGTTGATATCTACAGAGTTGATATGCTTGGCGAAAATCTCTACCTCATGGGTCCTGATTTTAACCCATGTGTTGTCCACGTAGCGGAACCAGTGGCTGGGAGCGATACCAGTGAAATTTTTTCAAAAGTTAAATATTGAAAAAATACTTTTTCAAAATACCAAGAAATATATAAGCTAAGCAGTCAAACAGAGTAATGTTGAATGACATTTTCCCCCTGTCATATTGATAATACTAGGACTTACTAGCTCACTGCAATGCAAGAACAATTCTTTCTCTTTACGGGACATAACTTTAGTCTCAGTTGTTTAGCCATCAGGTGCATATTTAAGATTTTGTTGGGTTTTGACTGAAACACTGAAAAGATAACTGAAGACAGTATTTAACTAACTCATGCCTAATTAACTTAATAATTAGCTAGCTACTGTAGCTACAGGCACTAAATCTGCTGGTGGCAGTCGTGACTAAATGAGTGTTTGCTGGCTTGAAATGAAAACCTTTGTCTGCAATCAAGAACACATTGTTTCAAAAATTACAAAGAAATTGAACTGTAATATCTGCACCCACTGTCACTGTAACTGCATATTTGCTGTGTGAAAACAGAAAGCTTAGGAACAGGCATAGCAACTAACTAAATGCATTTAGAGCTAATCAAACAGTGCAGTTATGAAGCTACACATCATGTTGAGCATTAGTCAGCACAAGACCAGAAGCACTGACTGAAAGATGGGCTGGGGAATAATTTCAGATCCAGTTTTTTCTGTTTGTATTTCAGCTTCTGTGGCTTTGCACATTTTTGGGGTGAAAATGAAAAGACACATTATCTCCTAAATACCTGCTACCATCCAGTAAAAGTCTTCCTAAATTACAGTACTCAATTCTCAAATACTAATATTCTATTTTGGAGAGGTCTTCTGCCAGCTGATAGATAAGGTGTCTCATTGTCTCTTCAAGGGCTACTAGATTTAAAAGAATGTCATTCATCTGGTGCATAAT